TGTGCCACCACTTTATTGCGGGACTGTACCCTTTGACTAGAACCACTAACCATACAGCATATAGACAACCCATTTTATACAACGAAAATGGACGCAAAAATTTCTTGCGACAGGTCCAGAGAGAGGCCCCTCACATTCTCATAGAATGCTTTCTGTTTCTCAGTCGCTGAAAGGAGCGCGACAAAGAAGGTTGGTCTGCGCTTGGATTGTTCTTTGTATGTATGCGTTTCACACATTCACATACACGGGGGCATGTGTGCGTGCGATTTCGTTTCGAAGCCAGCGCACAAAATTTAGATTTTTCTAACTTTTTCGCACAAAATTTAGATTTTTCTAACTAAGAGAACGGAGCAGGATATATTTCAGTCAACACCACTTAAAACGCCGATTGCTTTTAAGTTTTTGTTGTTCGCTTGACGCATGCGACTCTTTAACTCCTTATACACCATACATCCTCTATAGTTTGCCGTATGGCTGCCTCCGCAGTTTCCACATTTCTTCACGGTACTGTCCTTGTTTGTAGTGCAGCAAGCGGACTTGTGGGCGTCCCCGCAGACTACACAGACAGCCCGAAGTGTGCAGTAAGACCTTGTGTGTCCATACTCTTGACAGTTAGTGCATTGCACTGGGCCGTTGCGTTTATGTGGCTCTTCAACAGTGATTTTCCGATGCAAAAGATATTGCAGGTTGTAGATTGGGTGGACTTCGTTCTTCTTCAGCGACCTGCTTTCTGGCTCGAGCTCGACCTTAAAGAGGGGTTGTGGCTTTTTATCTTTATTTAGAATTTCTTTTTTCTTTAAGGGCGGTTTTTTTTTCCGCGGCGGTAACATCAGGTTCTATTCCCTTTACTACCAAGTGGTAGGCCCTTACTGATTTTCAGCTGGTACGTGTAATAGTTTTTCTGTACAGTGTCCAGATATTTGGACACGATTCGGAAGTGCTCTTCAGTCTTGGTTTGCACCTTTGTTTCATGGATGTTCCCTTTGATAAGCGGAACAACATGAAAGTTGTCACCGTTCCCGAACAACGACGCAATTTTGTTGACCAGGGCACTCGAGCTTTTTTCCCTAATATAGATTGGAGGGGGCTTGGGTTTCTTTGCGGTGTCTTGGGCTGGTTGGTTTTCCTCAACCTCCGCCAGTAGGGCAAATCTGTTAGTAGTGGAACTGTCTGGTTCTTTGTCGATATTCAGGACACGGTTAATTTTTGTTTTATTGCCTGCTGGATTACTCTGCGGGCTAAGCTTGCGCTTAATTTGGATTTAGCGATCCATTCCAGTCTGTGTGGCCGTAGCCGCTTTGGCACTTTCCGAAGTTGTTGTTTTTGTACTCTCTGTAGTCGTTGACGTCGCGGTACTTTGAGTTGCAGAGGTTTTCGCTGTTGTTGCAGAAATTGTAGCGCTGCTAGTTGTTGGTGCGAAATTTGTTTCCGATATTGGAGGGGGGGTTTTACACTGCGAACTCCATGACGCGGGAGTCGGAATGAGCAGAGCGGGTGAACAAGACCGTGCCCTTTGGGTTTCAGCGGTCAGTAAAGCCGGGTTGCTTATAATCGCCGATTTTTCCACTTCGGTATCGCGGGTTGAAAAGTAAGAGTAGAAGCCGTTTCATTGGTTCACTGAACTTCTCCCTCGTTCTTTTGATCGTTGCTCAATGAGCTCATTGCGTGGCTCTTATTTTTTGTTTAACCACCTTTTTGTTTAGCCACCTTTGCACTACAACACTACTTTGTATGATGACGGAATTTTGTAGTCTTTTCCAGGCTTCAGTTTAATTATAATTATGGATTTCTTCCACTTATTTGGGAAATAGCCAAGATTAATGATCCCATTAAATAGTTTGCAGACGACGTATATTTGGAGTCAACACAATACGACAACAGAAAAGAATGTGTCTTCCTTCAGAAGTAATCAATTTATTACAATGCTCAACAAATTTGGATGATACAAGGGAGGATGCGAGCTTTTTTGATACTGATACTTTGAACTTTCCGTATGATATAGATTTGGAAAACGAGCATCAAGATCTTTTGTAGGGTGTTATGAAAACAGGTTACTTAAAATATATTATAAATTCTGCTCAATTTATAATATGTTCAATATCAATTTTTTATCTTGTTCAATAATGTTCCTTACATTTGGCGTGCCACTCCCTCGCCACGTGCCATGCAGCGTCAAATAAAAACTCAAGAATAAGAAAATTGCATTTTAACATATTCGCAAGAAATCTTTGAAATTAATATAAACAAGAAAAGAGGAGAAAGGACAAGAAAAAGAGGTGAAGTTGATATACCCTTGCAGTTATGATCGGATATAAATCACAAATATCGGGTATAATGGGCCGACTGTTATGATAACTTTAATATGAAACCAATTTATTAAAATATCAAATAAAAAAATTTCAAGCTTCTATCTTGCTAAATGAGCCAAATTTGTTATTTTTACCAAATAACCATTCCAATTCTTCAGTTATATGACAGCTCTAGAATATAGACCCCATTTCCAAACAAAATTTGGAAGGTTCATTCAATTTGCCAAAAATATAATCTTTAGAAAACTTAAGCGTTCTATCTTCAAAAACACGGAAGTTGGGCCATATAGGGTCTTAGCAGGCTTATGTCGTATTATTCTGCCACAAATAGAATCTACAGAATAATCTATTATTACACAGTGCGACAAAAAAAAAATTGGAGGCTCATATCGACCTTTATATCAATTTGGGAATACGGCACTCTCATCTTGACCTGAATAATCCCCATTGATATTCTGGCAAATAAAACGGAGAACTTATGAAATTTGATTTGTCGTATTATTTTGTCAAAAATAGCATTCGTACAAAAACTTATATTCGGCTATATCAATGCCGACTATATCCTATAGCTGCCATAAAAATGATTCATCGGAAATGGTTTAACCTTGGTGTTTTTAGAGTTAGAAATTATGATGTAAATTTTGTATGAATGCTACTTACAGCAAAAAAATACGACATGCCAAATTTCATAAGGATCGGCCAACTATATCCTATAGCTGCCATATAACTGAACGATCGGACAACACTTTTGTGTTTTTGAAGATAGAAAGCTGGAACTTAGTACAGATTATATTTTTTCCGGTTTTAACTGCAAGGGTACATCAACTTTGGCTCCGCCCGAAGTTAACTTTCCTTTCTTGTTTTAAATTAAAATTGCTTAAATAATATTAGATAAATAACAAATTTTTTGTACCTTTCAAATAAAAAATATTTTATTAAACCAAATTTAAAAAAAATGGACATTGATAGAAAATAATAATAATAATAAATAATAAATAAAATAATAAATAATAAATAAGAAAATAATAAATGATAGCCTGAAAATAACATTTAAAGTCGAAATTTCTAAGTGTGCCACCACTTTATTGCGGGACTGTACCCTTTGACTAGAACCACTAACCATACAGCATATAGACAACCCATTTTATACAACGAAAATGGACGCAAAAATTTCTTGCGACAGGTCCAGAGAGGCCCCTCACATTCTCATAGAATGCTTTCTGTTTCTCAGTCGCTGAAAGGAGCGCGACAAAGAAGGTTGGTCTGCGCTTGGATTGTTCTTTGTATGTATGCGTTTCACACATTCACATACACGGGGGCATGTGTGCGTGCGATTTCGTTTCGAAGCCAGCGCACAAAATTTAGATTTTTCTAACTTTTTCGCACAAAATTTAGATTTTTCTAACTAAGAGAACGGAGCAGGATATATTTCAGTCAACACCACTTAAAACGCCGATTGCTTTTAAGTTTTTGTTGTTCTGCATGAGAACTGTGCTTGCATACCCTACCGATGGATGACTTTTAGGGGAGTGAACAGACATTACCCGAATTTTGTTAGGGTAGACAGCCTGAAAAGTTAGAAAAATCTAAATTTTGTGCGCTGGCTTCGAAACGAAATCGCACGCACACATGCCCCCGTGTATGCGAATGTGTGACACGCATACATACAAAGAACAATCCAAGCGCAGACCAACCTTCTTTGTCGCGCTCCTTTCAGCGACTGAGAAACAGAAAGCATTCTATGAGAATATGAGCGTAAGAGAGCGTAAGAAATCCTCTCTTGGGCCTGTCGCAAGAAATTTTTGCGTCCATTTTCGTTGTATGAAATGGGTTGTCTATATGCTGTATGGTTAGTGCTAGAACTAAGTAGCGTACATAAGATCGCTGATGTCGTTAGTTTTTGCCTTTACTTCTTAGATTTACACTGCTGATCGAAAGCAAAAATTCTATAAATTAAAAGAATGAAGCAGAAAATTCTACAGAATTGCAATAGTCGAATAGGCAACAGAAACAAGCAGCAGCATACTTAATTTACAATCTGCTGTTGCTTTGACTAACGCTTATGATCGAAAGCCGCAGCAAGGCAGTCAGCAGAATAACGAAAATCAGCGACTGCGGCAGCTGTTTCATATTAGCTGCTTTGAAATTTATGCTTTTGCTTCGACTGCGGATTCGCGTTTTCTTCGGAAGCAGAAGCAAATGCTCATTTTAAAAAGTCGCTCGCACTCAAAGCTGCTGAAAGCCAAAATATTACGAGTATCTAAAAATATTACGACCTTTGCTACTGCGGATGCAGTTTTATTCACTGCATTTTAGGGCACCTCTGCTTTAAACTTTAAAGGTTAGTTAAGGTGTGGGTGGAAGAGATGAGTACCAGGTATAATATAGTCGGGAAACTCGACTATAGCCGACCTTTCTTTTTTAGTTTTGCGAATTTCTGTCACTTTTGTGGTTTCTGTCCCTTTAAAATAATAATTTGCAAAGATCATTAGAGTATACAATTCCCTTAGAAACAAGACGAATTTTATTCGTCTGAATTTACCGTGTCTTTATCGTTTTTTGTTGATCTTATTATTGTTGATCTACTATTTGACTTCAGCCTCCACTCAGGAGGTGATCTTTAATTTTCTTATTGTTGCAAAAAATTACAATAACTTTTCTTCTATTGTCTATACTTTTTATTTATTTTAGGAAAATAATAATTCTTTTGAAAACCCATGCCCAGGAACGGTTGTTGATATGCACATAACAAGAGCACATATGTATGATTTTTTTCTGGTTTCTCAAATGGTTCGACAAGGCACAGTCACCCCCACTCACTTTATAGTTTTAAGGGATGATGCAAATTATGGACCGGATATCATTCAAAAATTAAGCTATAAGCTTTGTTTTTTGTATTATAATTGGCCTGGAACGGTTCGAATTCCAGCTTGTTGCATGGTAAGTTATTTAGTTATATAATTTTTTTGCTCCGCTGTGCTCTAAATATAAAAGGTCATCAATTTAAATGACAAGAACACCGATTTTGGTAATTTTTTTAGTTTCCCTTAGAAAAAAAGGGTAAAAATAACACTTTTAATATCCTTGCAGTCATTATCCATTTCATTATCCAATATCCTTAAATAACAGTTTTCGTCAAAAGTGTGCAACGCAGAGAAGGAGTCATCTCCGACCCTATTAAGTAAATCCACTGCGCGTCACCAGATTAACGCCCCCCTTAGTATTTGCATTTGAAGCAGTGGTCGGTAGGGCCATATTCCAAAGGCATAGGAAATTTCTCTGTCCGAGCTCTGCCGCACATACACAGTATAAATGTCGACCACTAATTTGAAGTGAAATATTTTAATTTGGAGTGAAATATAAACACATCAAAGAATGCAGTTGGACTTTATATAGGTTTTTATTAAATTAAAAACGAAAGTAACAGATTTTGTTGTATGCAAAAATGGCGACATCATATTAGCACCTCCAAAATATAATTGTTTATTTCTTTCTAATTTGCCGTGTAACCAGTGCAGCAGATTGTAGCTATACTCCGAGAGGCTTCCAGCTTCCAAGACTCGACCGCCAAATAATAAAAAAAAACTGGTTTTAAGGCAAAAAAATCAACGGTTTTGTGATTAAGAAAGCTGATCATTTCAAAAGGCTAAAACCAAAAGATAAACCACTTTTTTTTTATTAAGTTCGAAAAGAAACTCGACTTACGTTTGTTCCAACGAATATGACGTAATCCAATGAGTACGTCGTATTTGCAGACGAAAAAAAATGTTACCTAGGGGGTCCAGACAAATATTGGTACTATTATTTCCACGATTTAGGTAAAAAAGAGCATCATTTGGATGCTTGCATAGTCGAGTTGGTGGAGTGATAATATGGGATAATATGAGGCAGCCCCAAACATAAACGCATAAATGCCCATTATTAATTTTCATTAATAAACTTACTCATAAAATTGTTAAAAAAAAGGTTTTGTAATACCACTAACCATTCAACATATAGACTACTCATTACATACAACAAAAATGGACGAAAAAATTTCTTGCGACAGGGCCCAGAGAGCATCTTACTCTCTATTTAACGCTCATCTATGTAATTCTTACTCTCATTCTCATTGAATGTTTTCTGTTTTTTAGTCTCTAAAAGGAGCACTATGCAGAAGTGTTCGTTTGCGCTTCGATTGATCCATCGGTGGGGCAGGCACATTATACATGCAAAACAACAATGACTGCATAGCTCGCAAATAACTGTTAACCGATTGCTGGGGTCTCAAAATAAGTGTTGATCAATGAGTGATGAAAATGTCTGAGAGCAACCGTTTGCTTTTTTCGTATACAAAGTTAGCTCTCGCTCAAATGACGAGTTCTATTTTCTGTTCCCATTTGCTCTATTCTTTCCAGGACCGTTTGTCTTTGTGAGACGATTTCAAAAGTCTTTTTTTGTATGTGTGTGTGTGTGTGAAATTTTGTGGTTCTTCTTTTATTTGCCTTTGTGACATTTGGATACTCAGAGAAGATAATAAATACGAAAATCGGACGGGAAATAAACAAAATTAGAACAAAATTTATCGTCGTTTACCATTAAACAACGACATTGAACATATTTATACAAATGTAAGGCTAAAATCGTCAAACCTGAGTGCGCTTGCACATGTAGTCTTTACCATCCCGGTACTCAAGTATCTGTTGAGAGAGCATTTTAAGTTAAAAATTTTTTTTTTTTTTAATATTAAGTTACTTTTTAGTTCAAAAGAGGGGAAAGATTTTCTTGGTCGTCCCGTAGCTGTGTGGAAGTAGTTGCACTTTATACACTTGTATAAAGTGCACGACTTTAAGTGTCGTGCATATCTTTTCTCTTGGATGAGTAAGGGAACAATTGCGACACTTCTCTTCAGTCTGCTTACAGTGCTAAGTAAATGCCCAAAATCTGCCCAAGTCTGTAACTATTTTATTTTATTAATATATGAGTTTTACAATTTATTCTAAGCGAACGACGTAGTTTAATAAATACCCAAAATCTTAACTCTTTATTAGTTGTTAGGCTGAACTTTAAATAAAAAATTAAAAAAATTACTTTTTCTTTCAAAAAGTTACACATTGTACCCCTGTGCATCCCCACTTTAACAGAATTAAAAGTGTCAAAAAGACTTTATTAATTGCCTTTTCGGTCAATCGGCATTTTAATGAGGGTCTCTGTGCGAACGTCAAAGATTTCTCTCAGTGAGCTGATATCAATTATATCAATGATATCTGAATGATATCTCTCAGTAGGCGAACATTTTACGAATCTCTCAACGTAAAACACTCAACCGAAAACCGAAAAATCAAAAGAAAGTAACTCTCCTGCTCTGAGAGAGAGTGATTGTCAAAATTATTTACGTTTTTTCTCATAAACTGAACATTAGGAAAAAGAAGGTTATTTGCAAGTTATTTGCAAGCTATGTTCATTACAAGACTTAAGTAACTTAAGTCAGGAACAGGAAGTAACTGAACAAGAAAGGAAAGCTAACTTCGGGCGGAGCCGAAGTTGATATACCCTTGCAGTTAAAATCGGATATATATCGCAAACATCGGATATAGTTGGCCGATTCTTATGATTAAATCATAATAAAACCAATAAACTACAATAAAAAATCTAAAAAAAAAGTCCCAAGCTCCTATCTTCAAAAACACCAAAGTTATACCATTTCCGATCAATCAGTTATATGGCAGCTATAGGATATAGCAGACCGATCCTTATGAAATTTGGCATGTCGTATTATTTTGCCTCATGTAAAATTTGAACTCTCTAACTCTAAAAACACCGAAGTTATACCATTTCCGATCAATCAGTTATATGGCAGCTATATGAAATAGTCGACCGATCCCGGTCGTTCCGACTTATATACTGCGTGCAAAAGAAAGATTGCTTTAAAACTGAGAGACTAGTTCGCGTAGAAACAGACAGACAGACAGACAGACATGCTCATATCAACTCAGGAGGTGATCCTGATCAAGAATATATATACTTTATAGGGTCGGAGATGTCTCCTTCACTGCGTTGCACATTTTTCGACAAAATTATAATACCCTCTGCAAGGGTATAAAAATGTGGGTCTCTGTGCGAACGTGAATCATATCTCTCAGTTAGCGATGTTCAGTAGGCGAGCATTTGACGAATCTCTTTAAAACACTCAGACGAAAACCAAAATCAAAAGAAAGTAACAGGAGACTTACTGCTAAAGAGTGATTGTCAAAATTTTTTCGGTTGTTCTCATCCTGATATAATACAAGGTAGTTTATTCGGCTGTCAAAGTTTGTTTATTATCATTAGAGAATTATCATGATTCTCATAAACTGAACATAAAGATAAAAAAAGGTTGAAAGTTATTTGCCAGCTATGTATGCTTAAAAGCAGTCGGCGTTATGGTAGTTATGTCGACTGAAATATACCGTTTCTAACTCAGTATATTGGTTTTAATTGATTCTTAAAAATCTATATAAAAAAGTCCTGTTATGTTACACCACTTATAAATCAAGAAAGGCAGAACAGATTTGAGTGAAAATTGGCAGGGAGGTAGCTTAGAGCCAGGAGACGGACATAGGATACGTTTTATCCCGGTGGAATTACGATTAAAAAAATGGCATCGCATTGGCCATTGCATATTCCCGCATTGCAGCAACTTTAATACATGGAGGCAGAACAGCTCATTCAGCACTTAAGCTGTGTCAGCAGTGTGCAACATATAAAAACAATCGTAGTGCTGAAACAATGTAAAATAATTATTTGGGATGAATGCAACTATTACTAATCTAAACTAAACGATAAACTATTTGGCAGCTCTTTGTTACTCCTTTTAGGGGATTTCAGACAAACTCTTCCCGTTATTCCACGTTCAACGGACGATAATTAAAATAATGCTTGCTTAAAATCATCTCGACTGTGGCGTAATGTTGAAAAACTACCAGGTCTATGCATATGAAACTGCGTTTTTTTTTACAACTTTGGAAATTTATTTAAAAAAAATGGTGACAATTTCAATCTTTAAAGTATGCCTCTTCAGAAGCCACACATTTTGCCCATCTTTCGGCCAATTTATGAATTCCTCGCCAGAAGAATTCCTTTTCTTTGGACCCAAACCAGTCTTCTACCCAATTCTTAAGGTCTCCATAGGAATCAAAGCTCTGGTTGGCTAATCCGTGTACCAAACTGGCGAACAAATGGTAATCTGATGGAGCCAAGTGTGGTGAATAAGCCGCATGGTTACCCCAGCCAAACGTGGCTACCAAATCCTTGGTGCCTCTTGCCCGGTGTGATAGCGCGTTGTCGTCCAAAAGAATGGTTTTGAGCTGCGTATTCTGGGCATTTTTGCGTATTCTGGGCGTTTTTGGAGCAGAGATTCTTTCAATTCATCCAATTGTTGCAGGTAGCGTTCGCCATCAACGGTTTCACCAAGTTTTAGGAGCTCATACCAAATGACTCCGGCCTGATCCCGGAAAACGCCGACTTTTTTTGGGAAAAGCGGTAATAAAATTATTATTTCCTTGGTCTCGTTTTATTGAGGATTAATCAGACAATATTGATATGTGTCAAAGATAATACCTTTTCTGGTAAGGTGTACCGAAAAAATTACGTCAAAGTCCGAAAAACACGAACAAAATGTCAGTTTCTTGTGTACAAATTGTATCCTTTTTGTCTATTTCTATTTTATTTCCAAAGCTACAATATTTCACTATTAAAAAACGTCGGATATTTTAAAATCGCGTTAAAAATAACGCGTTTGGGAATTTTGAAGAGCAAAAAAGTCCCAAAAAACGTTCAAGAGGGTGTTAGAAATAATTATAAACAATTCCTACTTGGTCCCTTCAAAAGTTTCAAATCACTGTCGCACTGTGTAATCAATTAAAATATACTCCTCCGGAATAACTGCACTTATAGTTATAACAGTAAGTAGGCTGTAAGTGTAACGTATCGTACAATGGTACAAATGGTATACCCGCTCGTTCCAGCGGGTTTCAGCGCCGAAACCCGCCATAGAAAATTTTTTTTTGTATGAGATGTCCCATCTATGTACTATCTTTGATCAATAGAGGCCGAATTGTCTTCCTTCAGGACAACATCAGGTCACACACATCTTTGGTGACGCGCCAGAAGCTCCACGAGATCGGATGAGAGGTTCTTTTACATCCACCGTATAGTCCGGATCTCGCACCAATTGATTACCACTAATTTCAGTCAATGGCGTATGAGCTTGGTAGTCGGAAGTACGCCACAAGAGAGTCCTGTGATGGCTCTCCGAGTTTTTGCCAGTAGACATTATGAAGTTGGCATATTATTGTAAACTCGTAATCGAACAAAAGGGCGCATTTGACTTAAATCGCATTATTATAATTTTTATGTCTGCGCAAGCATTTATTAACTTTATTTAAGTAATTTAGTAATGAGGAATAGAATTTTGGGATTTTCTATTTTTTGTCTTTCCGGAATCGGCCTATATCCTATAGCTGCCATATAACCGATTGATCCGAAATGGTATAACTTTGGTGTTTTTTGAGTTAGAGAGTTCGGATTTTGCATGATTTTGGCATTTTGCCAATTTAATACGACCCACTATTATTTAATATTATTTAATAAGACCCACCGAATTTCACAAAAATCGGCTGACTTTATCCTATAGCTGCCATATAACTGATTGATCGGAAATGGTATTTGGTAAAAATACCAACTTATTTTTTTTGAAGATAGAAGCTTGGGACTTTTTTTTTTAGATATTTTATTATAATTAATTGGTTTTATCATGATATTCTCCTAAGGATCGGCCAACTAAAATTCTGTGTTAAATTGTTTGTTTGAACAGCTTTCGTAAGGTGCTTGTTTAAACATGTTTTTTTGTAATGTCAGGATATCCCTTACCTTCTTTCCTCCTGTCCTGTCGGAATGGGAATATGCCTGGGAAAGTGGAAGACAAAGTTATTTTTCCAATGTTTAATGCAAATTCTTTCACTTTGAAAGTGGGATACGGCCCTAATGAACCTTTCGTTAGTTAAGAAACTTGTAAACTAATTTTGGCCTTAAATAAATTTTTGGATGGCGGAGCAGCCCAGTGTACCAAAATGTGTTGTCCAGGAATAACATGGCACCCGTTTCGGCAACTTTTTAAATCGCTCTACGAGACTAGAGACGCCGGCAGCTGTCATTTTGCTTCTGTTAAATAGTCGTTCACGTAGTGGCGAATGCTTTTGGGCCTATGTAAGTCGCTTTGTGACGTTAATATACAAAAAATTGAACAATTTTCGGAACGAATTTCTATATTTTTGGTGGTTGGACACATGGCCATCTATTTTGATTGGCTTTTACAAAAAATGAGACACAAAAACGGAAAGAAGAATAGAGTTGTGCGCTATGGAGTACATTAACTTGAGTATGCTGGTACACAAGGAGATTGCTCAATTGTTAAAGAAAGCAATTCTAGTACTTAAAGTTATATTTATCATAATGTAATGTCGTAAAAGGTATAGGAAATGCCAATACCTACAATACCATACAAAATAAAAAAATTTTTTTTACGTATATTTATATTACGTATATAAATTACGTATATTACGTAATTAATTACGTAATTAAGTATATTACGTATATTTACAAAACTTAAAAACTAACAGAAGCTTTCCTTCCAAGTGTTTTGCGGTAATGCCGCTAGTATTTGCTTCGCAGACGTGAAGCCAGTTTTGGCGTGAGTTAACACCCCACTTCAGTTGCTGCCTTGCTTGGAGCCTAACCTTCGCCCGGACCCTTTTCATAATTGCTCCTTCATTTGTCTCAGCTCCTTCATAATTGTTTCGATTCGTCCAGCCCGCATTCAGGGCACCTTGGATCCACATCATGGCCAAATTAAGTAGCTCGGCCAACAAGTAGTTCGAATCCGCTGTACTTTCGTGTACCAGAAGTTTTCCTCGCTGTGTCTCCTTTGGAGCCATTTTTCTAGGTCGGGGACCAATTGGTGGGTCCTTGGTCAACTCGTCACAACGTCTTTGCCACTTTTGGATGCTTGTTGCTCTTGAGCTCACTTTTAACTCTCCCGCTTGACCGCTCTGCGCTGTTAGAGCCTGATGTACATATTTTGGCTCCACAGTGAGAAGATCGATTGCCGCACCGAGATGGTTAGACCGAGAGCATCTCTGCTCTGCTGCTTGATGACTTCCTGCTTCAGATCAGGACAGTCTCCGTCTTGTATTGGGCTAGGCTTAGCCCTGCCTGGTCGAGCCAATCGCTGACCCTTGCAATTGCAGCTTTGCAGGAATTTTCGATTTCCGGGATTGTCAACGACCACTACTGCAATGTCGTCCGCGAATCCTACTAGATGTGTTCGGTCTGGGAGCTCGACTCATAGGGCTGGGCCTAAGACGGATCCTTGAGGGTCACCTCAGGTGACCACATGGTCTTGGATGGTGCGATCGCTAAGGTACGACCTTATACGCTTGTCGGCACTCGGAGATTGTGCAGTGCCCAACTTTTATGTGCAGCAAAAAAGTCCCCAAAAACGAATTTTGAGGAGCAAAAAAGTCCCAAAAAACGTTTTTTCTTAATAAATCAAGATTTTGTCAAGAGGGTGTTAGAAATAATTGTGAACAATTCCTACTAGGTCTTTTCAAAGGTTTCAAATCACTGTCGCACTGTGTAATCAATTAAATTATACTCCTCCGAAATGGCTGCACTTATAGTAAGTAGGCTGTGAGTGTAAAGTATCGTACATATAGGTAATTGCCCCTTAAATAGGGCCCTGCCGACCACTGAAATACATTCAGCAATGCCAAGAAAACGCAATTGGGCCAATTTGAGTCGTCGAACGGTCAATTCTAGAGCCGCGCGAGATAGAAAAGTACGAAGATTAGGAGAACCAATCGAAGAAGCGATATAGAAGAGTACGAAGATCAGGAGGACAAATCGAAGAAGATAATGAAAATGCGCGTTTGAGCATGGCGCAGTTACGTGAATTACAATTAAAAGAGGCAGAAACGTGCAGATTCAGAGTTAAAAGAAGAGTTGACCAACAAGGGCAACAATTTAACCTTTTACCTTTTTTACCTTTTTTATACCTTTTTTATTTTCAAAAAATCAAAAATTTTGTTATTGTTTTATCTTGAAGAAAAACTCCTTAAGAAACTTTTCCCAAATTTTCATAGAGATTGGAGCAGTAGAAAAAAAGTTACAGCGCTCCTAACCGCGCGCCTCGTTGCGGCCTTGAACTGAACTTGAAACTTTAAACGCGAATATCTCGATATGGTGTTTCTTGAAAAATGACTTTGCGGTGACATGGATTGGCGAAAAACTACTGAACCGATTTACTTTAAATTTTTTTTTAAATGTTCGTAATGAAATTCTTCTGTGCTTGAACGATCGACTTTTCACGCGCAAACTTTTTTTTCGCCGAAATGAATTTTTTAGTGAAATGTTTAGAGACCAAAAAGTTCATTTTTAGCATAAAACGTTCCCGTATGAATAAAAAAAAAAAATTTTTTTTAATCGATCGTTCAACAAGGAAACTAATGAAATTTTTTTACTTTTATGGTTTAAGTTGACCTGTTTGACCTGGGGAACTGTCACCGCAAGGCTCTAAAAAAAAGGCTCTAAGGGAAACAGCCACCCCTTAAAAACTATTAAATATTTTTCCACCAAATTTTGCACAAACATTGTTAATAAAGTGTACTATCAAAAATTAAAACATCCCTGTAATTAAATAATTGCTACATACCTAAAAAAAATCCGAACTTTGCTCTTTTTCTTCGACAAAGAGGGTATATAACCTCTTAATCGAGCATTAACATTAGGACAATTTCTTCGACTAGCATTCCAGAACAAACCGGATGTTAAATATTCTGCGTGTTCCAAAGTGGTTATTGGTATTTTGGAAAATAATGCCTGTATTAAAAGAAAAAAAATGGGTACAAATGGTATACCCGCTCGTTCCAGCGGGTTCCAGCGCCGGAACCCGCCCTAGAAAATTTTTCTTTGTATAAGATGTCCCATCTATGTCCTATAGCTGCCATATAACTGATTGATCGGAAACGGTATAACTTTGGTGTTTTTTAAGATAGAGAGTTCAAATTACATGAGAGCTATTTGGCAAAATAATACGACATGCCAAATATCATAAGGATCAGCCGACTATATCCTATAGCTTTCGTGTTTTTGAAGATAGAAAGTTGAAACTTTGTATTTTTAGTCAATCCGACCTACCAAATTTCATAAGGATCGGACGACTATATCCTATAGCTGCCATATAACTGAACGATCGGAAATGACCCAACTTTCGTGTTTTTGAAGATAGAACTTAATACAGATTCTATTTTTGGTCAGATAATCCGACCTACCAAATTTCATAACGGTCGGCCGACTATATCTTATAGCTGACATATAACTGGTTCTTGGTAGAAATACCAGCTTTGGTATTGTTAAAGATAGAAGTTTGGGACTCGTTTTAAGTTTGGTATTATAACAAATTGGGTTTTATTATCATATTCTCATAAGGATCGGCCAACTATATTCGATGTTTGCGATATATATCCGGTTTTAACTGCAAGGGTATATAAAATTCGGCTCCGACCGAAGTTAGCTTTCCTTTCTTGTTTTTAGATATTTTATTATAATTAATTGGTTTTATTATGATATTCTCCTAAGGATAAGCCAACTATATCCGAGGTGTGCGATATATACCCGATTTAACTTCTAGGGTACTCAACTTCGGCTCCGACCGATGTTAGCTTTCCTTTCTTGTTTTAAAATATAATTTTAATTATTTTTCAGTATTCCCATAAAATGGCCTATTTAATTGGACAAAGTATTCAGCGAGATGTTGCCGATACTCTTTTGGATAAACTATTTTACCTTTAAAATATAAATACAGAATAAATTTGGTTATTGTTTATTAAATGTAGTTTTTTCATTTTTATCTGTAAAGGTTTCCTAAACCTAAGCTAAAATTTTGTGTTAAATTGTTTGTTTGAACAGCTTTCGTAAGGTGCTTGTTTAAACATGTTTTTTTGTAATGTCAGGATATCCCTTACCTTCTTTCCTCCTGTCCTGTCGGAATGGGAATATTCCTGGGAAAGTGGAAGACAAAGTAATTTTTCCAATGTTTAATGCAAATTCTTTCACTTTGAAAGTGGGATACGGCCCTAATGAACCTTTCGTTAGATAAGAAACTTGTAAACTAATTTTGGCCTTAAATAAATCTTTGGATGGCGGAGCAGCCCAGTGTACCAAAATGTGTTGTCCAGGAATAACATGGCACCCGTTTCGGCAACTTTTTAAATCGCTCTACGAGACTAGAGACGCCGGCAGCTGTCATTTTGCTTCTGTTAAATAGTCGTTCACGTAGTGGCGAATGCTTTTGGGCCTATGTAAGTCGCTTTGTGACGTTAATATACAAAAAATTGAACAATTTTCGGAACGAATTTCTATATTTTTGGTGGTTGGACACATGGCCATCTAATTTGATTGGCTTTTACAAAAAATGAGACACAAAAACGGAAAGAAGAATAGAGTTGTGCGCTATGGAGTACATTAACTTGAGTATGCTGGTACACAAGGAGATTGCTCAATTGTTAAAGAAAGCAATTCTAGTACTTAAAGGTATATTTATCATAATGTAATGTCGTAAAAGGTATAGGAAATGCCAATACCTACAATACCATACAAAATAAAAAATTTTTTTTTACGTATATTTATTTTTTTTTTTTTAATTTTTCCTTTATTTACAAAACTTAAAAACTAACAGAAGCTTTCCTTCCAAGTGTTTTGCGGTAATGCCGCTAGTATTTGCTTCGCAGGCGTGAAGCCAGTTATGGCGTGAGTTAACACCCCACTTCAGTTGCTGCCTTGCTTGGAGCCTAACCTTCGCCCGGACCCTTTTCATAATTGCTCCTTCATTTGTCTCAGCTCCTTCATAATTGTTTCGATTCGTCCAGCCCGCATTCAGGGCACCTTGGATCCACATCATGGCCAAATTAAGTAGCTCGGCCAACAAGTAGTTCGAATCCGCTGTACTTTCGTGTACCAGAAGTTTTCCTCGCTGTGTCTCCTTTGGAGCCATTTCTCTAGGTCGGGGACCAATTGGTGGGTCCTTGGTCAACTCGTCACAACGTCTTTGCCACTTTTGGATGCTCGTTGCTCTTGAGCTCACTTTTAACTCTCCCGCTTGCCCGCTCTGCGCTGTTAGAGCCTGATGTACATATTTTTGCTCCACAGTGAGAAGATCGATTAGGATGATCAGAGCTGCGTCAACCGAGATGGTGCGGCAGCCCGAGCAAACCCTTGGGGCGCAAAGTCTGTATGTGCTATTCAGTCCCTTTGTGTACGACCTGGTTTTACCTAACCGCGGGGTTACCTACACGGGGGCTCTGCTTCTGCGAAGTCCTTCCTTAAAGAAAGTAAGCCTCGTGTACCGAAATACTCCCAGGTACCTGATGACTCTGCTTGAGTCATCTCTGCTCTGCTGCTGATGACTTCCTGCTTCAGATCAGGACAGTCTCCGTCTTGTATTGGGCTAGGCTTAGCCCTGCCTGGTCGAGCCAATCGCTGACCCTTGCAATTGCAGCTTTGCAGGAATTTTCGATTTCCGGGATTGTCAACGACCACTACTGCAATGTCGTCCGCGAATCCTACTAGATGTGTTCGGTCTGGGAGCTCGACTCATAGGGCTGGGCCTAAGACGGATCCTTGAGGGTCACCTCAGGTGACCACATGGTCTTGGATGGTGCGATCGCTAAGGTACGACCTTATACGCTTGTCGGCACTCGGAGATTGTGCAGTGCCCAACTTTTATGTGCAGCAAAAAAGTCCCCAAAAACGAATTTTGAGGAGCAAAAAAGTCCCAAAAAACGTTTTTTCTTAAGGGGTTACGCCACCCTGACCGCGTGGAAACGGGACGGTTTTTCAGGAATTTCTTGTGACTAAACTAGTTGAGATAGGATTTTTCCACTTTTATTTCTATTTAATACAACTAATGAGCTTTATAACTTCTAAAAAAAAATTTGTTTTCAATTCAAAATGGCGGAGATATGAACATCGGCGATCATAGGTTTTTCCGGAGTGCTCCTTGATGGTGGGCATGATTCACGTGTCAATTTTCATCAGAAAAAAGTAAACAAAATTTTTTTTTAAAAAGTGATAAATTTGGATCAGAGTGACGTAGCCGTTTTAGAAAAGAAGAAAAATTACGCAAATGAGAGCACTTCAAAACTTGACTCAATGTTTTGGGCAAAAAATTTCGTACTAAAAATTGCATAAAAAAATTTCTATCCATTGGATCAAAAAATCCTACGTCACTCTGTGGAAAATCTATGTAAGAAGATGTGTTTCAATTTTCAAGTCAATCGGTTGAACAGTTTTTGAGTTATCATGCCCACCGTCTTGAAAAAAGTGGTTTCGAGAAAAACGCAAAAGAAGAAAAAGAAGTGTCTTAGGTGCCCTCCTGCAGTGCCGCCTTGAAATAAACATAACTTCCATAATTATCAAGATATTGTCTTCGGGGACGTCTTAAAATACGCGTAAGAATATAGTCTTTTAAATTAAGTAAAAAAAAAAAATCGATTTTTTGAAAATTTCAGGGTGGCGTGACCCCTTAATAAATCAAGATTTTGTCAAGAGGGTGTTAGAAATAATTGTGAACAATTCCTACTAGGTCTTTTCAAAGGTTTCAAATCACTGTCGCACTGTGTAATCAATTAAATTATACTCCTCCGAAATGGCTGCACTTATAGTAAGTAGGCTGTGAGTGTAAAGTATCGTACATATAGGTAATTGCCCCTTAAATAGGGCCCTGCCGACCACTGAAATACATTCAGCAATGCCAAGAAAACGCAATTGGGCCAATTTGAGTCGTCGAACGGTCAATTCTAGAGCCGCGCGAGATAGAAAAGTACGAAGATTAGGAGAACCAATCGAAGAAGCGATATAGAAGAGTACGAAGATCAGGAGGACAAATCGAAGAAGATAATGAAAATGCGCGTTTGAGCATGGCGCAGTTACGTGAATTACAATTAAAAGAGGCAGAAACGTGCAGATTCAGAGTTAAAAGAAGAGTTGACCAACAAGGGCAACAATTTAACCTTTTACCTTTTTTACCTTTTTTATACCTTTTTTATTTTCAAAAAATCAAAAATTTTGTTATTGTTTTATCTTGAAGAAAAACTCCTTAAGAAACTTTTCCCAAATTTTCATAGAGATTGGAGCAGTAGAAAAAAAGTTACAGCGCTCCTAACCGCGCGCCTCGTTGCGGCCTTGAACTGAACTTGAAACTTTAAACGCGAATATCTCGATATGGTGTTTCTTGAAAAATGACTTTGCGGTGACATGGATTGGCGAAAAACTACTGAACCGATTTACTTTAAATTTTTTTTTAAATGTTCGTAATGAAATTCTTCTGTGCTTGAACGATCGACTTTTCACGCGCAAACTTTTTTTTCGCCGAAATGAATTTTTTAGTGAAATGTTTAGAGACCAAAAAGTTCATTTTTAGCATAAAACGTTCCCGTATGAATAAAAAAAAAAAATTTTTTTTAATCGATCGTTCAACAAGGAAACTAATGAAATTTTTTTACTTTTATGGTTTAAGTTGACCTGTTTGACCTGGGGAACTGTCACCGCAAGGCTCTAAAAAAAAGGCTCTAAGGGAAACAGCCACCCCTTAAAAACTATTAAATATTTTTCCACCAAATTTTGCACAAACATTGTTAATAAAGTGTACTATCAAAAAATTAAAACATCCCTGTAATTAAATAATTGCTACATACCTAAAAAAAATCCGAACTTTGCTCTTTTTCTTCGACAAAGAGGGTATATAACCTCTTAATCGAGCATTAACATTAGGACAATTTCTTCGACTAGCATTCCAGAACAAACCGGATGTTAAATATTCTGCGTGTTCCAAAGTGGTTATTGGTATTTTGGAAAATAATGCCTGTATTAAAAGAAAAAAATGGGTACAAATGGTATACCCGCTCGTTCCAGCGGGTTCCAGCGCCGGAACCCGCCCTAGAAAATTTTTCTTTGTATAAGATGTCCCATCTATGTCCTATAGCTGCCATATAACTGATTGATCGGAAACGGTATAACTTTGGTGTTTTTTAAGATAGAGAGTTCAAATTACATGAGAGCTATTTGGCAAAATAATACGACATGCCAAATATCATAAGGATCAGCCGACTATATCCTATAGCTTTCGTGTTTTTGAAGATAGAAAGTTGAAACTTTGTATTTTTAGTCAATCCGACCTACCAAATTTCATAAGGATCGGACGACTATATCCTATAGCTGCCATATAACTGAACGATCGGAAATGACCCAACTTTCGTGTTTTTGAAGATAGAACTTAATACAGATTCTATTTTTGGTCAGATAATCCGACCTACCAAATTTCATAACGGTCGGCCGACTATATCTTATAGCTGACATATAACTGGTTCTTGGTAGAAATACCAGCTTTGGTATTGTTAAAGATAGAAGTTTGGGACTCGTTTTAAGTTTGGTATTATAACAAATTGGGTTTTATTATCATATTCTCATAAGGATCGGCCAACTATATTCGATGTTTGCGATATATATCCGGTTTTAACTGCAAGGGTATATAAAATTCGGCTCCGACCGAAGTTAGCTTTCCTTTCTTGTTTTTAGATATTTTATTATAATTAATTGGTTTTATTATGATATTCTCCTAAGGATAAGCCAACTATATCCGAGGTGTGCGATATATACCCGATTTAACTTCTAGGGTACTCAACTTCGGCTCCGACCGATGTTAGCTTTCCTTTCTTGTTTTAAAATATAATTTTAATTATTTTTCAGTATTCCCATAAAATGGCCTATTTAATTGGACAAAGTATTCAGCGAGATGTTGCCGATTCTCTTTTGGATAAACTATTTTACCTTTA